AGGAGGAGGAGGAGGAAGGTGGTGGCTCCTTCGCTGCTCCTCTTCCTCTCCAGGGAAAGAGCGTCCTGAACGGGAGGAGAGCCCAGGAGCTGCCGGACAGCCCCAGGGAAGAGGGTGTGGAGCATCCCCCGGGAACCACTGCCAGCTGCCCCCCGGCCCAGCCCTGCCCACCACAGAGGGACAGCAACCTCGTCACCGCCCTGGTGGGGCTGTGCAGGAGCAAGGTACGGGCAAACAGGGGTGGCACGAGGGGACGGTGGGCACTGCCAGCCATGTGACAACCCCTCTCTCCTCCTCCTCTTCCTCGCAGAAGAGCCGTGTGGCGCTGAAGGCTCGGGAGAACCTGCTGGTGCTGGCGGGGCTGGCCCAGGAGGCGGCTGCTGCCTGCCTGGTGAGGAGCAGTGCCCTGTGCCCGCTGCTCACGGGGCACCTCTGCGAGCTGTACAGCGCCGTGCCCCCCGGCACCGACCCCGCCGACGTCCTCGCCATGGACAGGCCCAGCTGGAGGTGAGGGGGGCGCTGGGAAGGGGAGCTCAGGGGTCACCAGGGTTTTGTCACAGCCCCCCCCGTGCCCTCCATCCCGCACAGGTCGCAGGGGGACGCTGCCGGTGACGGGGTTTTCCCGGGGAAGGAGAGCCTGGCTGCCTTCCTGTGCTGGCTGGACTACCTGGATGAGCTGGTGATGGGAGCCCACCCGGTGAGAATCACAGGATCACGGAGTCAGTCAGCTTGGAAAAGACCTCTGAGGTCACCGAGTCCAACCTGTGACGTGCCACCACCTTGTCCCCCAGCCCAGGGGGACACGTCCAGTCGTTCCTTGGGCACCTCCAGGAGTGGGGACCCCACCACGTCCCTGGGCAGCCCCTTCCAATGTCCGACCACCCTTTCTGTGAAGAACTTCTTCCTAATATCCGACCCAAACCTCCCCTGGCACAGCTCGAGGCCGTGCCCTCTCATCCTGGGGGGTTCCCAAGCCCAGCCTCTCTCTCTCCCCCAGCTCGTGGCCGACGCCATCACCGAGGCCGTGGAGGAGAAGTTTTTCCAGGGCGTCCTGCAGCCACAGCTCCTGCAGATGTGAGTGTCTGAGGGTGTTCCGCTATCCAGGACCCCCCAGAGCCAGGAAACGAGGTCTCCTTTCCCCCTCTGGCAGGTCGGAGCTCGCCGTCCTGGGCGCCACGGCCGTGCTGGCGGGGACGGTGCGGCAGATCCGCGCCCCTGCCCTGCTCCAGCGCCTCGTGCTCTTCCTGCTGGGGCCACACCGGCACCCCGAGACCCCCGGGGACGCCCCCCACGCCCTGCGAGCGCAGCTCATCGACCGCTGCGACCACCTCTCCGACGAGGTGAGCCCGTGGTGGGCGGGAGGACGGGGAGGGGGCGGCGCCGGGGGAGGGTCTCACCCCATCCCGCCCTGCCCAGATCAGCCTGGCCAGCCTGCGGCTCTTCGAGGAGCTCCTGAGGAAGCCCCACGAGCACGTGGCTCACAACCTGGTGCTGAGGAACCTGGAGGCCAGGGCGTACCTGCAGCGACAGGAGCGCGGACCCCCCGAGGCGGACCCCGAGGAGGACGGGCTGTGAGAGAGGGGAGGGGGCTGGGGCAGGATAAGGGGGGGGCAGCCCCTCAGTGCCCACCCCACTGACACCTCTGGGTGATGTCACCACCCCGCAGGGAGCTGGAGGAGGATCCCTATTTCACCGACGGATTCCCAGACACCGGCTTTGGGACAGCAAATAACCCTCCCCCGGGCTCGGCCCCAGCAGGGAAGGGGCAAGTGAGCGAGGTGGTCAGCAGGTAGGGCTTTGGAGGGGCTGCCCTGGCTCGAGGGGCGGGGGCTGTGTCCCCCTCCCCATGCCCCTCTCTCTCCTCTCTTCCAGCTTCCTCTGCCTGGTGCCGGAGGAGGCAAAGACCTCCTCGTGCATGGAGGAGGGCGGCTACGACACCTACGTGCACGATGCCCTGGGCATGGTGGGTGCCTGGGGGGCTCCCCAGGGGGGTCCCCATCCCGCTGCTGGTGGTCCCTGCTCCCGGGGGTGGTCCCGGGGGTCCCAGCCATGCTGAGCCGTCTGGGAGCGCTGCTGCAGCAGGCGGTGGAGACGGTGAGGGGGACACGGGGGGGACCGGGAATGGGAACGGGACCGGGGGGGGTTGTTCCGTGCGCCCCTGACCCCGGGCCCGATGTGCGCAGCGGGAGCCCAGCGTGGACCTGCTGGAAGCCTTCACGGAGCACTGGAAGGGCATCACCGGCTACTACCTGGAGGCCACAGGTGAGGGGGGTGCGGAGACAGGGTCGCCGTGCCCCTGTATGGGGTCACTGTGCCCCGGGTTGGGGTCCCTGTGCCCCAGGTTGGGGTCCCTGTGCCTCGGGTTGGGGTCTCTGTGGTGTAGGAGTCAACTCCCTGTGGTGTGGGAACAGGGGTTTCGTGTTCCGGGAGAGGGTCCCTGTGCCCTAAAATAGGGTCCTGTGCCCTGGGAATAAGGTGCCTGTGCCCTGGGAGGGGACCCCGTTCCCTGGGAAAGGACCCCATGTCTTAGGACAGGACTTTGTGTCCTGGGAGAGGGTCTCTGTGCCCTAAAATAGGGTCCTTGGCCTGGAATAAGGTGGCCGGGGAGGGGGTCCCTGTGCCCTGGGACAGCACCCCGTGTCCTGGGACGGGTCCCTGTGCCCGGGGACGGAACCCCGGTGCCCTGTGGCAGACCTGGCACGCGGGGCTTTGGCGTGGGACGCCCGTTCCCATTCCCCGGAAGGATTTCTCCATGCGGGGAGCTCTGCCCTGCCCGGCCCCAACCCCCGGCGCCCCAGCGGGGTCAGCACGGGGGGGGTTCGGGTGGGTGCGGACACTCCCGGGAGCGCCGGACAGGCTGGGACACGTCCCCGCTGGGAACGCGCCGCTCCCCGGGAGCGCTAAAGCGGGGCCTGCAGAGGCTTCAGCCCCGATTCCCAGCGGGATCTTGGCCCTTCCCGCTGTGCCGGGGCGGGGGGTCTCCAGGGCTGGCAGTGCCCACCGGCAGAACGGGCAGCGGGATGTCCGGCACCTTCCTAGGCCGGGAGCGGAAGGAGCAGCTGCCGGCTCTCCATCCTCACATTGCCATCTAGCGTCATTCCCAGCCCGGGAGGAGCGGGATTCCGGGCCGGCAAAGGATCGGGGAGCCGCTGGAGAGCGTCCCAGCCGGGCATCGCTCCCTTTGCCACGTGCCCTGGGAGCGGGGCGGGGGGCACACGCCGCAGCCCCCCATCCCTGTGTCCACAGACGAGAGCATCCCGGCCAGGCAGACGGACATTCCCTGGCGCCTCAAGCAGATGTTGGATATCCTGGTGTACGAGGAGAAGCAGCAGCCGGCGGGGGAGACGGGGCCGTGCCTCGAGTACCTGCTCCAGCACAAGCTCCTGGAGACACTGGGCACGCTGGGAAAGGCCGAGGTGGGTGTCCCAGCACCGGGAAAACGGCT